ATAACTGTCGTATAAGTGACATCCCGCCAATCTATAAGAGATGCACCTCTTACTCGAGTCCTTGTTGGAGTCACTATCAAGGTGGCAAGGAACTCCCTTGTGTGCACGTCGTTGCTCTCTCATCTAACGTTGAATAGTGAGAATAGACCCGCATCATCAATTCTATGGTCATCACTGCTCCCCATCCTTGGTACTGGTTAAAGTTTGGCCAACCAATCTCTCCCCAAGGATCCACTATTATGTATCTACATATCTGCACCTTCTTGGCACTAGAACTATCGTGGAGTAAGAGATGGAGGGGGTGCCTCTGGTGCATCCTATTGAATCTCCAACTCGCTATCAATCTCAAACACCTTGGCTCCTAGTGGAAGTTGTTCACTCTTGCTCGCTGACATCCCACTATCAAGTGATAGTCTTTCACTGTTGTTTCTAAAGGAGATATGAACAAATTGATATTGAGAACTCGAGTTCCTTGAATCCTCCTTCTCTTCCTGCTCAACCATGGGCTCCCTCCTGTTGAGTGACTCGCTATGACACAACTCCTAACAATGGCCAAGTGTAACCAATGAAAGGGACTGCAGTATAGTGGCCCAAGTAATAAATATCGAATCCACGAGTCTCTAGAGTTACTATTACTCAGCTTCAATTCATTATCTAGCAAACCAGATTAAGATGGAAGAACTAAAACTACTCTAGCAAACTACAGTTAAAGTTAATGTAATTACAGGTTGGGAACTCACTTAGGTATGATTCCCCCTAGCCACTAGCCAGATTAATGATTGATGATTTCTAACTTGTTTCACTTTCATTCACAATGTGGAGAATCCTTGACTAGACCTTGAATCTCGCCTAAAGGATCAAGGCCCTCTTGAGTCGATTGCCTAGAGGGACGTATCCTTCTCTACACAACCGATCAAGGCGTTCTGAACTAGACTCCCTCTATCGAATGAGGTTCTCAATCGATACAAAGCATTGAATCAACCCTCGACTAAAGCAATCGATCCAATACTATCAATCTATGGTGCTCTATTGACCTAATCAGGTATTCGCTCTCATAGGATCAAAGCAGAATCAATAATCTCGACTAAAGTGGAATTGAATCATGAAAACATGCATAGATTGAATATGAACTCAAGATTATCAAGTAAGAGTACTCATACAATCATCCAATCAAACAAACATGGCTAGGGTTCCTCAAAACCTAAGTGAAGGGAAGTTACTCCATAGAGAAGAGAGAGACTGCAGTAGGAATCTTCAGATGATCAGTCTCCAAGTCCGGGCTTGTTCCTCGAGCTTCCAAGGGGAAGAAATCCTCCAATTCCACTCCAAGATTGCCCTCAAATCGCCCTCTCTCTCTTTGGTTCGTCCCTTGGGTGTTTGGGATCCAAAACTCAGCTCTCCCTCGCAAAAACGCACAAAACAGGCTTTTAACAGCCTGCGTTCGCGATCACTGGTCAGAATACCCGGTCGGGTATTTTAGGTGGCGACCGGGGATTGTTGAAACGCGTCGTCGAGGACAGGGGATTAATCCTCGGTCAAGGTCAAGAATACCCGACCGGGGATTTATGATCAATGCCCGGGCCCCCTTCTGTTTCTCAAACGTCCAAAAGTGATTTTCCCCGGTCTCCTCAGATTAATACTCGGCCGGGTATTTTTGCTCATGGACGGGTATTTTGCTCCTCCAGCACACTTCAACTCAAACGTGCTCCTTTCGACCCGAAACTCGTTTCTTCGCCTCGATGCCAACGCCAAGCCCTGAAATATGACATAAACACACAACCTAGCGTGAAATCGGCTTAAAACACGAGAATCAACATCTCAAACGGCTCAAGAATAGGGGTAAAAACATGTGCAATCAATGGTCTATCATTGAGTCTTGTAGATCTTCGAGGTGCTTCATACTTAGGCTCATCTCGCGTGGACAAGAAAGTTATGGTCCTCGTTAAGAAGAAGGAACATAATCTTCTTTCTTCTTATGCTTAACAAGCCATCCAGTTACGCGATTCATTTTCCTGCTCAATGGAAAGAAATCTAATTTAGAATAGATAAATAGGGGAATAACACCACACTTTAAAGCGTGGCTTCTTCGATAAGCTAAACAAGATAGTTACAGATGGTAAAATCATTCAATCATATAGGACGTTTAAGCACATATAATAATGACAGGAAAAATTCAATGCACTATCTATCTTTGAAAATTTTATAACTTTGAAAGCTCAAGTTATATGATTAGGCAAAGGTCGATTGAAAAATTGGCACAAGTAAAATGGCATGAAATTTGATCCAACTTAGTAATGAAATTGGAAAACTTACAATGCCCTACTCCCATTGAATATTCGAAATCTAGCATAACTTGACATTTAAAGCTCAAATTGAACGATGTTACGCTAAATTTTCTAAAATTTTGGCTTGACCTTTGATAAAATTCATCAATCCATCCAAGCATCATTCAATAAAATCATTATAAGCACCATGAAATCTCATTCCTAAACATAATAGCTATCATCAATCATTCACAAACATCGATTGCGCCTAATACAGGTAAAAAAATGAGTAGGAGAGAGCCCTACCTAACTCAAGCTATTTTAAACATTGAATCCTCAATAGAAGTCCTAACTTCATGATTCAAGCTCTGAAATTCATCTAAAGATCATGGATACTTACTTGGATTGATGAGAAGTGGAGAAAAATGGAAGAAAACTCCAAGAATGCAGAGAGAGAAAGAGCGGCGGTGGCGAAATGGGTCTAGCCGTCGGGGCTACTCCGTTGACTTTTTTGGATTGTTTTCTTTTATTGGGATTTTTTGTTTGGTGATGGGTAGGTTGTACCTAAAATTTGAGTTTTGGAGGTGGATTTAGTGATTGAAAGTTGCAGAAGTTGGGAGAAAATTCTAACGGGTTCGGGATTGGGGAATTTAGCTAGATCAATTAGGGATTGATCTAGCTAGGAATTGGGAATAGGGGATTTAGAACAAAGAAAAGGGGAAGGAAGGGTGCTGCTGCCACAGCTTTGGGAGAGGGAAGGGAGAGGGAAAGGACGCGTGAAGAGGGAGAGAGAGAGAGATTAGGTTTTAGGTTTTTGTTCTGTAATTGCTTAATGAAAATAATACCACTAGTACAGATTATATAATCCGCATAATCTCTATCTCCTACCCAACTAATAAAACATAACAATCGACTCCCTGTTTATTTCCCGAATACCCCAAATAATCCCCCAATTATAAAAAAACCGACAATAATACGAAATAACCAAAAACTGCAAATAATGTGTTTTCCAACATCTCATGTTTGGCTCGCCTCCTAAGGCTGCTGTTTATGCATGTAGGGAGCTTATGGGTGGCATGGATTGAGTGACACCGACTTAAAGGTTGGTATGTACTGTTTGGACTCTGCAATCAACTGGTCTTGGGTTGTGGGTGTGGAGGTAACTACTCAAGCATAGGAGCTAGTTTAGATACATATTGGAGGTATCATCATTGGGCATGGTAACGTGGGAAGGCATACATATATATGTCTAAGTTTACTGTATATAAAGTTTGGGATTCAATACGAGATAAAAAGCAGATTGTCCTGTGGTGGCTGCTTTTATGGAGCAAATTTGTTATACCTAAACACCGGATGATTGTTTGGTTGATTATTCATAACAGAATTTCAATGCGAGGTAAGGTGAAAGTGTGGGACAACATTATTGATAGTGCCTTGTGGCTGTGTGTTGTGTTCTGCAGAAGAGGAGAGCAGAGATAAGATATCTGGTCATTGTGTATATACTAAGAACATACATGCTTGCAGCAGTGTTGGTTCTTTACTTCGAATGTGACCTTCCAATAGCGAAACTGGACTGAATGAAGTTTTTACTATTAGCCAATGTAGAAGCAAGTTCGGAAGGTATTTAGCTCAATATGGTGTAGGAACTATTTACCTCATTTGGACTGAAAGATGTCACTGCGTTTTTCGTGGACAATGTTTGGGTTGGCCAGAGTTAGTGTTGAAGTTTAGAGATGGCGTTTTTTTTTTTTTTTTTTTTTGTCATGGGAAACACTGATTTCTCTACAGAGTTAAAAAAGTGTGAGGTGCTTAGAGATTTGATTTAAAAGTGAACCGATTTGTGGTCACTTTAAGTACATGGTTGTCAAGGTTTTTCTTTGACCCTTGATCACCTTGATCGGGAGAGCTTAATAAGATTTTGCTAATAACCGGAGAATTTTTGTTTCCTTCTTATTGGTCACCGACTTTGACTTCTTATTTCATCGTTGGTCACTGGTCGTCCAACTCCGTTAAATTCATCCTATTCGACAATCATATAAACAAAATTTATTTTTATTGTTTTAGTTTTTCAGTTGACATATTAGCACTTAATGATCAACCATTATAGCTGACTGCCACATAAGATGAATTTAACGGAGTTGAACAGCCAGTAACCAAGGATTAAAGTCAATGACCAATAGAAAAGAAAAAATCAGTGACAAACATAAAACAAATTCATAAACCGAGTGACCAAATGTGCAATTCATCAAGAAATAAATGATGGTAAGTATTTTAATGAATATTTTTACTCAAGATCGGGGAACAACAAATTTTGTTTGTTCTTTCTTTGCCGAAAAGAAAATCTGAAAATTAAGCTCCCTCCCGACGACGACGGGCCCGGGATCGGTGGTGGGAAAGAAAAAGGAAAAGTCATATATTAGGTTTTCTTTTTTAAATTTGGACAATTGACAGGCGGGCAGGTAGGCACCAAAGGAAGAAAGAAAAAAAAGCGAATCACATAATTAAAAATGAATCCTCCAGAACCAGAAGAAGACATTCTAATTGAGGCTGACGAGTGGGTGATGCAGTAAAAGCCATTTTAGACTTTTCTTTTTCCCCCTTCCCACCTCCGCTTCCGTTCCCTCCGCTTTGCTTTTTCTTCCCTCAGCGCTCTCTTTCTCCTTTTATTTAACTAATCTATCAACAAACGAATCAGATTCTTCTTAATTACTATCAAAAGATTTTTTACTAACCGTACGTAACGCCCCCCCTCCCTCCTAATCTTTGATTACTTACTTTTTTTTGAGTTTTTCCCTCCTAATTGCTTCCTCGCCTATTCTATTTAATTCCTTCTTCTTTCTCTCATCTCATCTCATCTCATCTCCTCACCCAAACTCCACCTTTATTCTCTCTCCCTTCACTCTCCCCACACTATTCTACACACCCACACGCCGTCGTTTTTCTTCACTGTTATAATCAATTCCCAATTCTATTCTATCAGCCACTATGGTCCTGGTCATGGTCGTGGAGGAGGAACAACGGGAATACGCCGCCGGCGACGTCACTTCTTCTCGGAAGCGGCCCCGCCGAGTCGTCGACGAGCCATCTGCCGATGAAGCCAGTTGCTTCCCCGCCAAGCTCGCTCGTCAATCCGACTCCGATTCCTCCAGAGGGTCGGGGGAGGCGAAGCGTATCGAGGAGGATTTGCTGAATATCCTCGACGACGCGGATGAATTACCTGCGATTCAGGGTTTGGACTCTGTTATCAGAAGCTTCGAGGAAGAGATCCTTCTCCCGACTTCTTTGCCGCCGCCGGCGATCCGCGATGAAGTAGTGACGGTATCCGAGCACGGTGATTCCAGCCCGGTGCTAGGTCGTCTCCTGGAGGCGTCGGACGACGAGCTCGGCCTGCCTCCGATGCTCGCCGCCGGGAAGGGAGGTGAAATAATTGGTTCCGCCGATTCTCCGGCGGTGGACGGTCGTGATCGTTGTGAAGAAGGGATCCCGTTCGAATCGGACGGTAATGATCGTTGTGACGATTTCGAGGCGTTGGCGGAGCTATTTGATGAATCAAACGAAACTAATGGTGATCCTGACCCGGCAGAGATATCCGAATTACAATGGCGGCCAGAGTCGCTGTCTGCTTCCTGATAAATTTCAAGGGAAAGAAAATTTTGAGAGTTAAAAACTTCAAAATTGGATGGAAGGTAAGAATCAATAAAGCAGGATGAAATTAGGAAACCAGCAAGAGAAAACGTTTCGGCCGATTTTGTCGATTTTCGTGGAAGTTGCAAATACGTCCGCTTCTGTTTTTTTTTTTTTTTTTGACAAACTCAGTTTCATTAAACTGAAAAACAGTTACAAAGTTTAGGTACAAGCCCATGGAGAGACAATCATAATAAATAAAGAAAAGGACCGGCTCATTCCTGTAAGCCCACCACATCAACAAAATAACAAACTCAAAGCCCAAACATGGAGGCCCACAACGAAATACCCACTCCTAAACCCTATCTAGAATGAACCACCACAAAGAGATCGCTGCCGCCGCTCAACAATCCAATCTGCCAAGAACCCAGAAGCTGCCGACCAGACAAGGAGGAACATGATGCCACAGAGGACCTTCGACCCATGGATGAAGGAGAAGACGCACCCAAAAGGCAGAGACGACCACCAAGAGCAAGGCAGAGACCAGAGGAAAAGCATGCAACGATCTCTGAGTGAGGCATCCCCATCTTCAAAACCATAAACCGCATCCGAGCCGAAACACGAAGAAAGGCCACAACATCTCCGGATCATCGCGATCTGTTGGATGAAACAAGGAGGTAGATGAAAGATTCAAGGAAAGAAGATGAGTTGAAGAAGAAATCGACAACCCCCTTTGCAACTGGACAAAAGAGCTCCAAGAACCCTAGATCTGAAGATCAGACCAGAACTGGAGAAGGAACAGAACCATCTCATAAAGAGAGATTCAACAACAGACCCACAAAGGGGGACAGAAAACCAGATAGAGAACTGAAAAAGAAATAAAGCAAGTAAAGGAAGAAGATTAAAAAAAAAACTAGGGAGGGCCGCCACCGGTAGCCGGCAGCAGCCCTCGAAGGAAGAGGCGAAAGAGGAGTTCTAGAGAGAAGTGAGAGCTTTTAAAATGAGAGAGAGAGAGGCGGCGTCCGCTTCTGTTTGATGATATAATAGGATGTAAATTTCTTAGCCCTTCAATCGATGTCAAGGAAAAGTAGATTTCACCTTTTATTTTCTTGCAATAAAATATCCAAAAATTGATACTATGAAGTATTTGTATGGATGATACGAAACCGTAACTTAATGTTGTATCAAAACATTAAAAGTATAACTTTAAGTTGTATTATAAAAGTAAAAACTAAAATACCAAAATTTTAAAACATTGTAAAATTTCTCTGAAGTCTTATCATAGTTCTATAGTATTGGTTTGACAATGACAATATAGTATGGAGGTGGAATTTTACAATGCTATATAGCATTGGTGCTATAGATTTTTGTCTTTATGGTACAACTTGAAGTTGTACCTTTAACGTTATGATACAACTTCATATTGTACCTATATTTTTTTGTACAAATTCTTTTATGATACAACTTAAACTTGTACCTTTATGTGACAGTACAATTTTAAGTTGTAAAGTTGTATCATAACATAATGATGCAAATTTCTTTATGGTACAACATTAACTTATGCATTTAACGTTATGGTACAACTTCAAGTTGTACATTAAAGCACCAATGGTTTATAGTATAGTAGAAGTGCTCAAGTATGGAGTCTTATTTTTAAACAAAAAAATTTAATGTCGTCGTACCACTATCATATCATGATATTATCATAGTGATACTATGATATGATATAAGAGTGGTATGATCGTGCTTTAGTCTTACCATAGTGGTATGATGTAGGGATGACAATGGTAACATAATATGAATTCTTATCTGCGAGCAAATAAATTTAGGGCTAATACCATTAGGAAACCCGAACTATTAAGAATGTGTCATTTGTATACTAAAGTATCCAATATGACATTTGTGTCACAACTTATTATAGTTTTGTGTCATTTATGCCCTCACGATTTCGTTGACCGTTATAGATAACGGTTGACCAGACGGTGGTCAACTTGACATTGACTTTTGCTGACGTGGCTGCCACGTAGATGCCACTTCACTAACACCTCATATTTTTAATTCAAAATTAAATAAAAACTAAAATTGATAAAAAAAAATATATATATAATAAAAACTCTCACTATCTACCGGTTCGCCTCTCTCTCTCTATAAAAGGGCTACCAAGCCGGAGTTCTTACTCGTCGCTCCTCGCCTCCCCACCGTCGAGGACGGGCTGCTCTCGGGCCTCGCCACCGCCTTGTACGCCACAAGATTTCTCATCACCACATCGCAGTCGGGCTTCCAAGTGAACGCAGGAAGGCTCAGAGTTTTGTTCTCCTTGTTGAAGCTTATGCTCTGGATCCCCTGCTTCGCGATTCCGAATTTGACTTCCGGAGCTGGGTCGCCATTGGGATTAACCCGGCCATTTCTTCCTCCGTGACTCTTCTCAACCAGACAAAGTCAAAATTGAACACCCAGGTCAAAAATCCAGACCCGCATCTGTCTTCGGAAAATTTCTGATTATCGCGCCCCCGCATATGTTTCTTCCTCTACCTTCGCTATATTGAAACCAAGAAAATACCCACTACAAAACCCCCAAATCCAATTGTCCAATTCCAAATCGACTGCGTGGGTGGGTCTTTGCTTTCATTTTTTTCCATTTGGGAAAGCTCCAAATCCGTATTCGTAACACCCTTTCCCACTTGGGAAAGCTCCAAATTCATATTCGTAACACCCAAATATAGATTCGCAAATAATGGTGGAGCTTCAACGAATCATAAAGGGGAATCAGATAGAGCTGGGGCTGCCGGCGAAACGTCCGAAGCTGGGGAGTGGCGGCGCAGACTCTGGGCTGAGCCGAGCGGCAACGACGACGACTTCTCTACGACGTTACGAGCGGCGTCGGCGTCGAGGATCAGTAGTTTTTATTTTGTATTTAATTTTTTAATGGAAAAGTAGCTAAAGCAACATGGATATCATTGTGTAGATCATAACTAATGCTCTCTATTTGTGCAAAAAAGAAATTTCTGAGTTAGAACGAAAGAAATGTGTCATCGTACCACTATCATATCATGATGATATGACGATGATAAGATTTCAGCAAACAAGTATGTTGAAGGGCTCATTTTTAACTCAAAATATAACAAAATGGATGTAATAAGTATAGTCACCTAATTTTGTCGCTTACCTTTATCTCTACCATGTGTAGACCATAATCAATCCTTTCTCCAGCTTGATCCCCTGCGATATAATCCGCAGGTTTTAACGGTCGGGGGTGACCCACCTGTTGCCGAGGTGATTTGTCAGGGGGAGGGGCGTTGGTGTGATCTCAAATTTAACCTGTGGTTTGAACCACCTACTTGCCGTATTATGAAAGTTATTCCCCTTCTGCGGCAGAATTTGGAGGATAGGCTCATATGGCATGATACAGCTGATGGGGTGTTCTCTGTTAAGTCTGCCTATCACTAGGTCGTCTCCCTAGATAGGAGGAGGGGTCGCTGGAGGGCTACGGCTAGTTGGATGGATAAGACCAGTTGGATTCGGTTGTGGGAGGCTAATATTTCCCCCAAGTTAAAGGTGTTTGTCTGGCAGATCCTAAATCGAATCTTACCAACTACTGAAGCCCTCATTGGTAAGAACGTCCCGGTGCTTCCACGTTGCCCGGTTTGCTGGGATAGTCCTGAAACTATGGAACATTTGTTTCATGATTGTCCGGTGGTGCGTGCCCTTTAGGGCTATTCGGGGCTGGAGTACCTAGGGGAGGGGTTGCCTCGTCATACATTCCCTCTGTTTCTTAAAAGACTGATGGCTTTAATTCAGCAGCCGATGCTTTTCATGGCAGTTGTCGCCGTCCTCTGGCGGATCTGGCGGTCTCGTAACTGGGTGGTCTTTGAAGGCAAACAGTTTTGGATCCCTACTTTGATGCATCAGTTTACTCAGCAATATGAGGAATGGGTGAGGTTGCCAGTGGATAAAGCTCTTCGGGCCTCTTTTCCTGTGGTATGATAACCGGGGCTGGCGCGACCTACTGGGGTTGTTTGTATGTGGGATGGGGCTACTAGGAGTGGATCTCATTCGGCTTTAGGGTTGGTTCTTATGACCCAAACTCGGGACATCCTTATGGCTAAAGGGGTTCAATTTCATATAATTGATGACCTCATGGTGGTGGAACTGCTTGTCCTCCGTGAGGGTATTCTTTGGTGTTTGGACCACGGCTTCACGGACATACGATTTGAAGGGGATGCCAAGGTGATCATCGACAAAATCAGGCGGGCCGATACAAGGGACAACCGGATGAGTGCTATTCTTGAAGAAATTATGCTTTATTTTGATAGCAACCCCATGTTTAGTGTTTGATTTGTAGGTCGGAGCCCTATGGTGGCTAGAAAGGCCCTCTCTTTGTACCCGACTATGAGTCGTTTCTTCGATTTTCAATCCTGGCTCATCTTCAGGATGTAACTATCTATTATTGGAATCAATACATGATTATCTTTTGTAAAAAAAAATCAATCCTTTCTCTCCATGCAAAATCTTTTAAATTCCAAGCTAAAGCGAATAAAATATGACCTGATAAAACAGAATTTATATTAGAAAGAGTAAGCTTTGACGGGTAAAAATTATCCTATGTCCTCTAAATTCCTTGCCAGACAAAGTAAAACAAAAAATATAAACATGTGCAAAACATCAGTATGCCCCTCCTTGTCCTTATTTGAGGGACAACTTAAGATCGACGCTTTGTAGGATTTTGAATAAAATGGTTTGTAATTTATCTGCTTCTATAGATATTTACTTCCATACTAGTTATGAGAATCTCCTTACAACCAGTCCACATGTGACCAATCCATTAGCAAAAATTAATTATTTTTATCTTTTAAATTGTTAATTACTAACTACAGAATATATAGACTAGAAATCTTTCTCTTTCTAGTATTCTGCAACCTACCTCTGAAAATCCCCTCTCTCATAGATAACCATTTTAGCGGCTGAGGTTAAGTGCTAATAAACAATTTGTTAGCATGGTACTAACAATTGTTTCATCCAATAAGAATATTTTGTTTTGATGACTTTTTTTATTTCAAATTCATATTCTAGTTTAAAGTAATGATAGCTATGGGGTTTTCACTGTTTCTCAATTTGTTGCATGTGTATGTCACTTCTCTAATGTTGAGTGTTTGCTTGAATATAGTTTAGTAGGACACTTCTTCACATTAAAAGTTATGAGGTAAATGATGACACGTGAAATGCTCTATTTTAGACCTTCATATTATGATCAAAACTTCACGGTTTTCATAATTTTAACGTCATAATATCCTGGATTTGCTACGTGATCTCAAAGTGTATTCTAGTAGCAATAGACTTGCTTTTATTCAATTTGATGCACTCTTGGTTTTGTTTCGTGTGTTTTCAGGGCATAGTAACCTAGTGGACTACTTTGGACGTGTTAAGGGACATGAGGACTCGACCACTAGGAGCCAAAAAGAGGAATATGAAGAGAGGATAAAAATGGTGCAGAACTCAGTAGCCTAATCGACAAAATGGCTCTCGGGACACCATTTTGAGGATTGCAAGAAGTTGCCGGAATCTTCAAGGAATATGCTTTTTGTAGTGGCCAAGCTGGAAGAGACGGATTGAGACTCAAAAGCGCATCTTTAAGCATCCTCTCTCCAGTGAAACCCTAATAGAATGTGTAAAAATAGACTTATAGGGGTAGGAGTTCTGTAGCAAGTGATAGGAGGCATTAGAGGGTCATTACTATGCCGGCATAGTGAATTGAAAAAGCGTTAAGGTGGAGAGTAGGAAATGGAACTCAGACTGATATCTGGAGCGATAAATGGAAGATGGGGACAGAGGAGAGTGATTTCAAAATCACTACACTGAACCCAGGTACATAAGAGGTTACAGGAGTGGCTGATTTGATGGATCACCCCAACAGAATTTGGAAAAGGTCGCAAATGCAACGCTTTTTCAACCAACAAGACAAAGTGAGAATTGAAGGGATTCCAATCCCAAGAGAACCATCGACGCATGAAAGGATTTGGGGCTATGAGAAACCAGTAGCTTATTTGGTGAAAACATGATACAAACTTTGTATTATAGAGAAGGTGACTAGAGTCATTGGTGTAGAAGATGAGATTGGAGAAGGAAATTACGAAAAGGAGGAAGCACAACAGTTGGTGGAGGCCTATGACCCAATGAATTGGAAACGATTGTGGAGCCTAGTACTACCATCCAAAGTGAAAATCTTCTTGTGGCGGTTAGTGCATAACATCCTACCGACAAGTAAAAACATAGAAATTATGAAGAAGGACGCCGCTACAGAATGCCCTTTCTGCAACTTGGAAGAAACCCAAACACATATATTCAAGGAATGCCAATAGACTGGTAGGGTTTGGAGGCCTACTGAGTTTCAACCCTTATTTGAGCTCGAACCTAACCTAATAGTAGGCAGCTGGATCTGTGAAGTGATGGAGAGGGTGGATGATGAAACCCTCGGGAATTTTGGGATGGTTGACTCATTCCTACTGTCACTTTAGAAAATGGCCAAGTGTAACCACTTCCTAAAGCGTAGTATAGCGGATTTGGGTTTTAATGTCAACCCGGGTCCTAGATGTGATGACTACTCAGTGAATTCTTATTATTTAGCGGGGAAACTTTATTGCAAGTTCAAACAAGCAAACAAGCAAAGCAAGCAAGAAGGTTGATTTCAAGTCGAGAGAGGTCACCCGGATGTGGTTCCCCCTAGACTGCAGTTAAGCCGGATGGCAATTTACCAAGTTCAGTTTTAATGATAGTTATACTGCGGGAGGTTCTTAAGCAGTCTGAAGTCTCGACTAAAGGTCTCCAGACCCTCTCAATCTGAGTTCCCAGCGGGCGACTAACCTCCACCGGAGTAAACAGATTGAGGCCCTAACGAACCAAACCTCCACTACCAAAGTAAATTCGGTACATAATAGTGAATTGGCTCCTCGACTAAAGTCGCCAATTCACTACCTTCAATTAAGGGTGCTCTATCAACCTAGGCAGATATTCTCTTTCTAGGTTAAAGTAGAAACAACAGGAATTTGATCAGGATTCATGCCATTCAACAAATCAAACCTCAATTGAACATAATCATACCATTGAATCTGTACTTGGGTTCATACAATCATACCTAACATACAAATATAGTGTTCTTCATACCCAGGTGAATAAGAAAGTTACTCCATAGAGAGAGATGGAAAATCTAGCTCAGATGCGGAAACCATACTGTGAAGGATGATAATCTGCTTTTGGCGCTCAATCAGATTTTCTCCAAGCTCAAGCCGGGCTCCCGTGGTGATGGAGATCGATCAAAGACACTTGAAGACTTAGGTTCGTCACTTTCTCTCTCTAGGTATCGCTCTGTCTCTCTAAAACTCGGAACCCCTAGACTTTTGGCCTTCTTTTCCCTTAAGAAGCTGTCTGTCGCGATCCCCGGCCTGAACACCCGGTCGGGTATTTTGGGTGGCGACCGGGTATGTTCGGAACGCACCGTCGGGTAATAGGGGAAAATCCCTAGTCATGGCCAAGAATCCCCGACCGGGGATTTCTGCTTCCTGGCCGGGTATTTCTGCTCATGGTCGGGTATTTTGCTCCTCTAGCACACTTCACCCCAAACGTGCTCCTTTCGACCCGAAACTCGTTTCTTCGCCTCGATGCCAACGCTAAGCCCTGAAATATGACATAAACGCACAACCTAGCGTGAAATCGGCTTAAAACACGAGAATCAACATCTCAAACGGCTCAAGAATAGGGGTAAAAACATGTGTAATCAATGGTCTATCAAACTCCCCCACACTTAACCGTTTGTTTGTCCCCAAGCAAACCTAACTCAAACCAATGCAACTCTTCAGACCTCTATAGCAACAAACAACCCCGATCGTCGGTAGAGGATTTCCTAGATCATATAGCAGCTTACGAGGTCAACTGGTTTTCTAAGACGTTCACTATCTCTCTCAATGCGAGTACTAGACTCAAGCCAGGATCATGAGAAGCAGTGGAAGTAAGACAGTCAGTTCATGGATGAAGGGACTCAAACCATTCACAATCAAGCACTACAACAAATTCGGCCTATTAGAACAAAAATTTTATTTTGTCATTTTCTGTTTGTCATAATATGTACGATGATATGACCAAAATAATATATGTCCTATTTGGTATGTCTAATGTGACAAAAAAAAATTGTCAGAATAATTCGTCATTTAAAGTGAGTAATGTGACAAATAATTCGTGTCACAATTGATTTATCAAAATAGGCGTTCCATATTGGGATGTAAGAGACTCAATAGTGACAAATTTCTTGTTGTCAGAATAGTTCGTCATTTAAAGTGATTAGTGTGACAAATATTTCGTGTCACAATTAAGTTTGTCAAAATAGGCATCCCATATCGGGATGTAAGAGACACAAAAGTGACAAATTATATCGTCACAGTAGCTTTTGTCATATTATGCCTTCCTGAATTGTTTAAATGATAAAGTATTTTGACACAATAGATAGCAATAATCTCACGACAAGCTGACAAAAGGGCGTGTCCGTCATAATGTAGTGGGTTCGACTTTGACAAAAGGCATATTCGTCATAATATAGTGGTTTCGTTTTTAACAAACGGCATTTTCCTCAGATTTGCTTGTGTTAGACTAAAACCAATCGGTCCGACCGACACATTATTTCCTCTGTGCTTCTAAACGTTGTCGTTTCGTCCACCATAACCCTAGAAGGAGACGGGTGTCGAACTCTCCTCCCAATTCCTTCTACCTCTCGCTCGACCTCTCATCCCACCATATCCCTCTATCGATGTTCCTTCTTCCCGCAGACCACCACCAGTCTCGGCGTTCCCTACCCCCAGACCACCACCTACCCCACCCCACCGCCATCATCTTCCTCTCCCTCGAGACAATGACGAACCCCGTCCGAGAAGTCAAGCAGCAACAACGATTGCGCCGCCATCATCTTCCTCTCCCTCCAGAAAACCACGAGCCTGCATCCGAGATGTGAAGCATCATCTAAGGCTTATTCCGAGGGCGTTCATGAAGCACTCAATTTGGTGGTGGTCACTGAAGCAACGACCATTAACAACAAATTGCATCACACGAGAACACCAAACTCCACGTAAGGTCCCCCTGATTCTCCTTTCGTATTTTGGGTTTGTGTGTTTTGAGACCGATGATGGGTTAGTTCTTTATTTATCTGAGGTACATTCGTGATGTTTCTGAACTTTTGCAATTTGGGTTTTGCGTAGGATAATTAAAGGGATATTAGGTTAGAATTACTCCATTCCACTACTGCTGACTGATTACTGAACTTTCACCGTGTGCAGCGACGAATGGAACAAATACATAACAAATGACGCTAATACTTAGTTTTCTAATTTGGATTTGATTGGTTTTAGAACCCCAAGAGTTTAGCTATGGATCGTGTGTCTTTATTGTTGCTTATATATCCATTCATCCATCTGGTTATGTTTCTCTGGATCACTCCTGTACCTTTTTTCCTAATATGGGCTTATATTGTTCTTACAACCTCCTAAACCCTGATTTCTCAACTTCTTCCTCAAACAACAGGTAGAGTACTTCCAACACTAACCTCTCTATTCAAATTAATTGAACAGGTGTGCAAACACAACTATGACTTCAACTTGTGTGCCCATGTTCTGCAATCTTATCCCGAAGCATCATCAACAACAACAACTAACATAAAATCCTTAGCCAAAGTTATCCAAGAGATGGCCAAAAAGCAATCAACCATCCTGCGCAAACTCTTTACTGAGCTAAGGAACAAAAAAGCTACCAAGCAACCAATCAAGTTGTTATTGGATCTATGTGCCTCCCTGTAAAATGATGCAACTATTTCTTCTCACAAATTGGGTAAGGAGATATCGCTAAAAGTTTGGAAGTTTCATTATGTTTTAGATAATTCTGAATCTTGCCGAATTGAATTAGCAACAAAATGTGTCCTGTTAAAACAATTGCACGTGAATCTACCTCTCTACCTTATAAATGTAAGAATTCAACAGTGAATAATGTAACATTGTGGTTATGTACTAATTTTGATTCTTGTCTTTACTGTTTACAGAAGCATACGATTGTTCCTTTAAGAATTGGTGGTATATGTCCTGTTGTGAATCATTATAGTCCTTAAATACATGTCATCTTCCTCACAGAATTTCTGCATGTAAATAGTAATTTGGTGGAGTTTTTCTATATTGACAGTAATAAAAGCTTGCCACATTCTTTCACATTGTTTTCGTTGATTAAGTTATTCATATGCTGAATGCAATGGCGGCTTGATGAGCTGAAGGGTAAAGCCTCTTACCAAGTCATACACAGACTCTTTAAGCGAGCTTGGAATCTCGAGGTAATTTATTGATACTTGTTTGATTCGTAAGCCATGTTTTTTGCTTTATGCTTAAGTTTAGATGAAGCTTTGGCATTTTTTATTTTAATTGCAGCTTGAACATTTGCCTACAGATTATAGTGGCTCATCCCTTACTCTCATTGGTTCTCAAAGAATTTGTCATTTGATTTTCATGATGTCAGGTAAGCCTTTTTGAGGTACTAAGTTGTCAATATCTCTGTGAACATTTAGCGGGTTTTTGTTGTTTTGATATCTTTTCTTCATAGTTCGGTTCATTAATTTCAGTAGCCTTAATTTAAAACCATGTGTAAGAAAAAGTGGCTTACCTTGTTGATGTTTTTGCAAAGTCATCTTAAAATTGACAAATGGCCTTTTCCAAATTCTAATTGTGTGTCTTGTCGTTCTTTTCGTATGAATCAGGTTTGTCCAATATCCCCTTAAGACGTGCAGGACAAGGAGCAGTAGCCTGGAGCTTAAGGCGATAAGAGACATTTGCAGGAGTCATCTACTCCATTTGCTTGGCTCTATTTGTTTCAACTCTGCAGCATTCTTTAGTTGTTCCAGTTGCTTTTTTTACGTGTAGCTCCTTTACATGATTTCGTTTCCTGTTAATGTTTATTTACTTTGTCATTGGATTCCATAAATGAACTCCATGTAATATTTTTGTCTTATTTAAAAGAAATTATTGATACAAAGTCTAAGTCTCCAAGAGCATGCAACAAGCTAATGTAATTAATTAAAAGGATTCTTTGTAGTGTTTATTATATGTCATTTTAGACATGAGACAAATAATGCACCTTTCTTGAAAAATATATTCGTCAATATATGCAGGTATGACAAAATAATGTCGTCACAATAAACACTTGTGAGAAAATGTAGTCGTCACAATATACAGTTATGACAAAATATAATTGCGTAATATGACGAATAATTATCCCAAATCACCTGATTATGACAACCTTAATGACAAAATATGTCGTCATAACATCTATGTTTGTCACAATAGACTACCCAGAATCTCAGCTATACTATATGCAAATGTGACAAATTTGTTTTAAATATTTGTCACATCTGACCTATCCTGACGGCGATAAAATGACAACCTTTGTGACAACACCATTTGTCATATTATACCTAATATGACAAAATCGGTATCTAATATGACAAAATAGCCTCGTCATAATAGGCAGAATTTGTTGTAGTGAAGGACTCACGATGCCGAGAAGCGTTGACTTGACCGTCCAAGTTAACGGTCAAAAGTCGGGTTTGGCCAAATTGTTTATTTTGGTGTATAGTTCGGGCCAGGATGTTATAGATCGAAAAGATTGGCCAGGATGTTTACTTTTGTCAAAGTTCAGGCCATACGAAAATATTAACCCAAAAATATAGGTACAATATGAAATTGTACCATAACATTAAATGTACAATTTCAAGTTGTACCATAAAAACAAAAACCTATAACACCAATACTATATATATAGCATTGTAAAATTCCTCAAAATAATATTAGTTATCTTTGGTTAACGTTTGTATCTATATTTTCTTGATCATGCAAACTAAGCTAAACCAGACTCACCAAATAATCACAAACCCAACCATCTGGTTTGAACCGGCCAGAAAGATGTGATGGCTCATGGCTGGCATCGGTGCGTTAATTTCCGCTCGCAGAAAATTATCAAGCAAACGTTCACCAAGTGTGGATCCCGCCCCGGCTCACCATCCACAAACCAGTTCCTGGCCGCTAGCCCCTTCATAGTTTCGCTAAAATATATCCACCGGAAAACAGAAAATCATGCTTTGTGCCACCGCCGCCGGTAGCTTATTATATTCTCCACCCGCTGCTTACTGCAATCCTAATAGCAAATTCCCTTGCCTCTCGTCTAGAATCTCCAGTTTTATACTGAACTCGCCAAAGCGGTGGAGATGCAGAGCCAGTCTAATTACAACCTCCGACTCGTTCGAAGTCGGAGCACTCGTCGGAAGTTACGGCTTCATGAACGTTACCAGGTATCTGTCTCTATATCTTTCGCTCTTCTTCTTCCGCTAATTTTACCTTCTTCATAACCCGCCAAGTTTCCGCTAGATATTATATTTTGATTTCCATGCCCCAGTTATTCGGGATTTCAATCAGGCAGCGAGTTAAGCTATTCGCCAATTGATCTCCAACAGCTGAAAGTTCAAGATGTTGGGGAAGGCAGTTTCAAAATCAAGTAGGTTTTCACTTTTCACAAGCTACTCTCCCATCGATCCTTTGAAATGATGCAACGATCCATTTTCTTTATAAATTTTGGTCCCAAACAATTGATTTTGTTCATGGCAGCAATGTTGCAGGCTTTATGAAGGAAGAGTAGCTCAGGGATCACAAAGGGGAACTCCTGTTCTGTTTAAGGTCAGTCGGCCTCGGCGACCTTCTATTTCTCATCTTCTTAATCAATATGTTTTTCTTCTCAATCCCTATCCTATTATAGAAGCTAGCTCAATCCAAAGCTAGGAATTGCCTTTGCTTATTCTTCTCTTTTGTTGTCTATCAAGGTTTATCCGGGCCAAAGGGCTGGTGGTATCGAGGCCGATATGATGGCTGCAAATGAGCTCAGTGCTCACTCTTCCCTTCAGGTGAATACTACAATGACCGAATTCTCATTACCATTTGGAACTTTCCTCGTGAAAGGAATCCCACTCTGGTGTACGTTTACTCTATTTTGCAGAGCTCTGCAGAAGGTATTTGTAAGAATCTAGTGCATCTAATAGGAGGATTTGAGACGAAAACTGGAGAACAGGTTCACTTTTCGTAGTATCAACAAATTGATTTTCAGGTATAGTCTTTGCCCTTCACACCATTGAAACATATTAACTGACAGAATTAGTTGTGCAGTGGCTTGCTTTTCGCAATCATGGGAAATATAGTGCAGCAGATTATGCAGCACTGACTAGCAAGAGAATCTCACAAGGCTCTTCTTCACGAGAAAAGTCCTGGAACAGCTTTCAACAACAGAAAGATATGGAGTATAGAAGATACTTTGTTATCAGGATCCTTCAAGGTGCTATAAGTGGTCTTGCCTTCATGCATGATCATGACAGATTGCACCAGAGTCTTGGCCCTTCTTCTGTCCTTCTCAAGTATCTTTCAACATGATTCTTGTACAACAAATTTTCTTCTCTAGAGTTTGAATGCCTCAATTGATTGTTTTTGCTTCCTGATATTTACCCGAATCACTGCTTGATGATGGATTGCAGTACCATAACTGAGAAAGACGCCGGTTATCTGATTCCACGTCTCCGAGACTTGACATTTTCTGTTGATATGAGGTATTCTTTTTTTTTTTTTTTTCATTTTCCTTTCTATATATAGTGCCCTGTGGAAAGTAGCAGATTTATTACTGCTAGAGTACTGCTCTAGTCTGTGGTTGATGCTAAATTGCTAATGATGAATGATAATAGGCAAGCAGTTTATAGTTTATTCCCTACCTCCTTGAAAGTTTGGTAGTTTATATTCATATAGGCATGGTTTTGGTAGTTTATGTGAAATTTGTCTCAGACTTCTGCAAATGCTATCTTTCCTTGAACTTATATAAAATATGACAATGCAAGTTAATTGTTGTATGGCAATGAAGCTGATCATTATTATGCATTAGGCGGAGACACCTGACCTTGTTTTTCGTTATCCAATTCACACAGCTTTGACAGTATTTCAAATCTAGAAGGTGCACGAACACTCTCAGAGAGTCTGTGGAGAAGGGCTACTGCTGCTGGTGCCTTCACGACTCTGGAGAAACGGGCCTTTGGAATTGCCGACGACATGTAACTTGGTTGCCAGTTTTCTTCATTTATTGTCTCTCTTAACGTCCTCAAGTTTACTTGTCCTTTTCATTGTTTTTTGTTTCTTGTTGTTTCTGCATAGATATGCAGCAGGTCTGCTTTTGGCATACATGGCGTTCGTTCCATTCTGTGAAGCAGGTATCATGGATAGCCTTTCGTTGCAGGTACAAAAACAGCTCTGTACTTTCCTCTTCTTTGACACATCACTTGGGGAGTTGCTCATTTGTTGATCCGTTCATCTGTCTACAGAGGCTTTTGGAGAATACTTTTAAACTCGATCTTGAAGCTACAAGAGAGTAAGATAGTCCTTGCGATTTAGAGAGTGTTGAAGTTGGATTAATAGGAAGGGTTTTGCGTGGCAATCTTGTTATTATAGTAGCTTTCTCTAGTCAATTGCAACAGTTGCATGTTGTTTCTCCTTTACAGATACTGTCTTGCGGATGATCGCTTGGAAGAAGCCGTGAAGTTTCTGGATATCGGCAATCGGTCTGGTTGGGAATTACTTCAGGTAGGAGGATGTTTTAAGGAAGTGATTGCGTGAGCTCCTCAATTTAGCAACTCTGCAATCGAATAATAATCTGTACGCGGTCCATGCTCATGGTTCCATTGTTGTGCAGGCGATGCTGAATCCAGATTTTCGACAGCGTCCGACTGCAAAGGCTGTGCTCAACCACTCCTTTATGAGTGGCTCTCTACTTTAGAGTTCCAAAAGGCACCCTAGCTGGACATGGCCACGGTGAACTTCATACTTCCTGTCTACTTCCTTGGCAATGTATAGCAACTGGCTGTGATGTATGTACATTAGGGAGGACGATAAGTAATGTAGGTCGAGGGAAATGTTGGTTGGAAATTTGTGAACAATCTTAAGGCTGTCAATTGAACCAAACCTGAAAAAATAATCATCACAGAACACCGAGATTACGTGGTTCCCAACAAGAGAAGGTTATGATCTCTTATTCCACGTTCACAGAAGCTTACATTGGCCAAAACCCTCCACACACATATATACTCGGCTGCCTCAAGCCCTAACCCACTTCAGAAAAGAAAATTTATGTGCATGGCTAATTACAAAAAGCTACTTAAATCTTTAACTTCTAACACCCTCTCTCAAATTGATAGTGTTGTCACAACATCAATTTGTGAGTCAGATATCAATGTGCAGAAGCAACCGTCTTAGTTAATAGATTTGCCATATGATACTATGATCCTCTACGTGATATAGGCAAACTCAATAGTACTCTTCGTCACCAACTGTCGAATGTAGTGAACATGAACCTCGATGTGTTTTGTGCGGTGTGGAGGATGGGGTTGGTCGCAATCCTAATCGCACTCGTGTTGTCAGCATAGAGACGAATCGGAGTACGACATACCACACCAAAATCAGTAAACAAGCGTTGGAGCCACACCAACTAAGAAGTGACCACACTCATAGATTGATACTCCGCTTCAGTAGAGGACTTCACGACTCGATCTTGTTTCTTACAGCGCCAAGAAACAAAGGACCGCCCGAACTTCACACACCATCCAGACATCGACCGGCGGGTATCCAAGCAACCTCCATAGTTAGCATCAGCATAAGCCTCAATAACGGGACTGCCACCCACCGGAAAATGTAAGCCCACAGTCTACGTGCTACGAAGATAATGCAGAATCCTCTGGACGACACACCAATGGTGAGTGCGAGATGCAGACATGTACTGACTGACAACCTGTGCTGCATAGGCGATATAGAGTACCATCATGAAGTAACTCGTCAGAAGACCGTGTTAACTTTAAATTTTGATCCATCGACATGACACAAGAGTCGCAGATGTCCATTTGCGCCTCCTCCAAGAGATCGACAATATATATTCGCTGACACACATGAATACCTGTCGTCGATCGATCAAACTCCTAGCCCAAAAAGTAAGATAACGTAGCCAGTTCCTTGAGATTGAACGCATCCCGGAGAGTATCCGTAAGGAACTCGATACCCGCATGATCATTGCCACTAATGATCATATCATCAACATAAATGAGCAGGACCGTGATTCCGCAATCAGTATGGCAAAGAAATAGAGAGGGATCATTCTGACTCTGAACAAGCCGGGGGCCTGTTTCAGATCGTACAATGAACAACGAAGGCGACAAACCATGGTCTTATCCCCCTTTGAGTTTAATCAGTGGACGCTCCATGTAGACTGTCTCTTTCAACTCCCCATGCAGAAAATCATTCTTACCAGTCCTGCATAGCTGCCAAGCCAATGAGACTACGAACAGTTTGCATTTTAGACACAGGAGCAAACGTCTCTTCATAGTCCACACCGACCTATTGTATGAACCCTTGAGCAACCACACCAGCCTTGTGACGCTCAATGGACCCATCTGGAAGGAACTTGAGTGCATAGACCCATCGGCTCCCAATAACAGTCACCTCAGGATGCCGAGGAGCATGATGCCAGGTGTGTTGAGCCTCCAATGCGTCAGTTTCTGTGTCCATGGTAGCCTCCCATTGTGGAAGACCTTGAGCTTGCTTGTAGGTGGCAGGAACAAAAACTAGGGGCGTGGCAGAGTATGCAACAAAATCAGAATGGCGGGCATGAGCTTTCCCTTTGGTAACATGATCCGAGTGGCTTAGAGGAGGGATCTCTTCGGCATCGTGATCCGAAGGTCTAGAGGAAGTCGAGGACGAGGAAGAACTAGAGGAACCAGTGGAGGCGGAGGCTGACGACCCGGAGGAGGAGGACGAGGACGAGCTGGCATGCGGTGGAGACAGTGGAGGCTCGTCATCCTCCTGAACAATAGTAACTGAGGGCGCTGGAAATGAAGCAAATGAGCCAAAAAAAATCCCATTGAGAGCTATCAATAGACTAATTCGACGCATAGTAGAGAGAATGCTTGAAAACACCACATGACAAAAGATACGAAGTCGCTGGTTGGCAACATCATAACAAGCATACCCTTGTGTTTGTCACTGTACCCGACAAACACACACTTCGCAGCTTTGGGAGATAGTTTGTTATGTTCGCGACGAGGATAGAGGACATAACAAACACACCCAAAACTCGAAGCCACGTATAATATGAAAGACACGAGAAGATAACCTGGTAGGGGCTAAGTTAATCAAGAACCAGAGTGATCTGAGGATTAATCAGGTAGACAACAGTATGAATGGCCTCCACCCAGAAACTAGGAGGAACTCGAGAGTGGAAGAGTAAGGCACGGGTAAGTTCAAGAACATGACGGTGCTTGCGTTCCACCATCCCATTCTGCTGTGACACACCGGGACAGGACTGTTGAGGAAGGATCCGTTAATGCCGAAATAGGTCATGGAGTGGATGAGACACAAACTCACCCCCAGGATTTGATCAGAGTATCTTGACGACCTTGCCAAACTGGGTAGAAACCATATGAATAAACTCATGAGCAACATCAACCAGTTCTGATTTCTGCTTAAGAAAGTAGACCCAAGTGAACCGAGTGACTTGGTCAACGAATAGAGCAAAATATCGAAATCCCAGCCGAGCAGTGACATGAGAAGGGCCCCACAAGTCAGTATGGACCAAATCAAAACGCTCTGAATACACAGTAGAGCTATTACCAAAAGATTGCTGGGAAATTTTCGCTTCCACACAGTGAACACAATCATGATTAGGAATAGTACGAACTGAGCCTCACAACCAATTATTTTTAAACATCTCATACAATCTCGATTTATGAGGATGACCTAACCGATAATGCTATAAATCCCAATCCGAAAACTGTACTGAATAACAATTGTTGTGAACAAAAATAGAAGAATCCAAAGAATCCGTGCAAGGAATGTGCAGAACTTGTAGCTCCACCAGGCAACCCGAGCTCTCCACCTCGATCCAACTGCTGTCGAGAAAAGCTATCGAGCATATACACGCGGCCATTCCAACTCCTTCTCCTGATCTCCCTGCTTGTCTTCGTGTCCTACCATGAGTATCAAATGTAATTGTACACCCCTCATCGGCTAGTTGGCCCACCGAAACCAAGTTTGGGACCAATTTCGGAACATAAAAGGTATGGGGCAGCGCCAAGTGATTAGTGCGAACAGTCCCACACCATCCACAGAAATAGTAGAACCATCGGCAAGTTGCAAGGTAACACCAGAACTAGGGTAGACATGAGTAAACGAGTAGTCATATGATTTACGGCCGCAGAATCGAGAGTCCTAGAGGAAGGAGGACGAGAGACCATACCCGTAGCAAAGTCAGGCGCATCCATCTCCTGAAGTGCTTCTCGGATAAGACGGCGAATGTCATCTGGCGAGACCCCAGAGGAGCTAGCAGGGGCACTAGGCGAGGGCGCAGCAGGGGGAGCATTAGTGGTGGCATAAACGCTCCTAGACGGGGCACAACCAGCCACATTTGGAACCCAGCTGCAGGAGCGCCTTCAATTGGTGGCGCAGAGTGAGACCTAGACCCACTTTCACATCACACGCTTCGAACAATGACCTTGGACGTGACTCGACTCCTGGCAAAAGTAACATATAATCTCACCTGATAGGGTACAACCAAACTGAGGTCTTCCAGATTGCACAGCAAATACTACACTAGAATTAGAAGCATAGAGATCAAGTTTGGACTGACTCCAGAGACGGGTTTCGTCACGAACGAGCTCACCCAGTACCTCCTCAATAGTGGTGATATTACGATGAAGCAAGGAGGACCGAATCCCTTCAAAGGTTGGATTGGGCTTCATCAAAAAATGCATAAGTCGAGAGGTAGCACGATCCTTGAGGACATCGGCAGAAGCGACTGTCAGCGCCAAGGAAGCCGTCAAAAGATCTTGTTCATTCCAGATATTTAGAGCAGCTTGATAGTAGGAGTGAACATCCAAGTCCACATCACAACGTCCATAGTGAAACCCCGTAAAGTGAGAGCCATCGACGGCTCAACCGACTTCACAATTCAGGATATAACCTGGGCATTCTCAATCGCTCAATCCGTGCGAGTCTTGGCTGAAGAAGATTCGCTCGGTTTCAGGGAGGAACCATCCAGGATCGGCAGCAAACGTTGCCTTTGCACATAAACTCGAAATTGCATCTCCCATAATGGGAAGTTCTTCCCATTCAACCGAACATATACGTCTTCCAATTTAGAACCCTCCGTTGAGCAAAGAAACACAAAGGCAGCAAAGAACCAGACAGACTCCCAACAACGCGAGCAAGATCGAGAGTTGAAGAAGAAAACCCAAAGAGAATAGAAGCTGCCCAGAAACCATGAATACTAGATCAACCAAAAACACGAAGAAAAGAGAAGCTGCCCAATAAGCTTAAATTGGCCAAAAACCTCCACAAACATATATACTCGGCTGCCCCAAGCTCTAACCCACGCCAAAAACTTCCACAAACATATACACTAACCTCCCTAGGTTGCATATCACCATGAAGACTAGTAATTCAAAGCATACTTAGCAGGAAATTTGCAAGGAACAATGTACATAGAGCACTCAAATTGTAAGATTCAGACATTAGACTAGGCTCCAAGCACCAAAAACAGCCAAACATTCACTAAAAATAGAGGAAACACCCCCACACTTAAGATCGACTTTGCCCTCAATGGAGAAGATAAAGGGATAAGGGGAACAATGTTGAAGGAGTGAAGTAAAATGTGGAGGGACTGGAGAATGGACCAGTCACTAGGGATAGACTGGAGGGCGAACCAGTCACTAAAACAATGGCTCAACAAAAAAAACCACTATATCATGGGAACGTTAGGAACAATCATAGACCCAAAGTCTAATAGATTTGCGATAACATAAATAACACGAGATTTAACATGGTTCTTCCTCAAAGTGTGTGAGGCTTACGTCCAAGGAAAGAGTAGGGTTTTCTTATTAGGTTATGCGGTCAATGGCCTTACATGCATATATATATATATATATATATATGCCCTTCCACATGATTATCAACTAGTGCTTGATTACAATTCGTGTATGGTAAACAACCCCAGCAAGGACAATGATTCCTTGCTACCCACGACTTCTGGAACACGCCCGCAACATGCGAAGTGGGTTGGATGGCCGGACTCTGCTCTCGGCCCAATAGTCTCAAACCAAACCAAAGAAAAGAAAAAGTGGAAAATCGAAGTGGAAAACAAATTTGCTAACCATAGTGGAAAATAAATTTGTTTTTAATTTAGAAAGATACAACAACTTTTTTTAATGTAATTGATAATGATTTTTGACTTTGTCTGAATCGATCATGGTTCAAATGTATGTGAATAATAAATTAATTAATGTAAAAACAAATATATCATTCTTATTTTCGCTCTCGTTGGAGGACATTTAAAATGCTAGAAAAACTGTTTTCAACATTGACATATTATATTTGTTTATTATTCTAATGTTTCTGTATTTTTTTAATATCTGGTCTGACTTTTGAACCCTTAATTTTGTATTTTCATTGAAGGGGGGGAAAAACTGAACTCTTGATTTTGTATTATATTATATGGGATGTGTTTTAAAAGAAAGGGGATGAAATTGCATGATAGAATAAATACAAGCTAAAAACAAAAAGAAATAAAAGAGCAAAATGGCGAGAAAAAAAAAAAGCGGAAACGGAAGCACAGAACAGAAGAAGAAGAAGACAGGACAGAGAGAGTGAGATAGTTACTTGTTTCCTTGTTAGAGCAGAAGGGCAGAGGAAGAAGGGGAAGGAAGGGAGGAGCTCCAGAAAGGGTAAGTCAGTCAATTGGAGAAACCCAAACTATTTTGAAGTAATAACCACGATCATAATTTCTCCCGTTTAGAGTGTGTATTAAGTTGAATTTGATTGATTCCGTCTTCTAAACGCTGATCCGACATCGTTTTCATCATCTTCCTCTCCTCTCCATTAACCAAACACAACGAGCAGCTGAAGCAGCTATGGAGATGGGTTTTCCCCTTTCTCCTTTTGGCGTTCTCTGCGCTACTTTTTTCGGGGCAACAAAATCTTTCTTTCACGCACACACCGCTAGCTCTTTACTCTGTTTCCCCTTCTAGCTTCCATCACAAATGAGGAAACTTTTCTTAATTTTTTCTTCCTTTTTTGCAGAAGAAACAGAGGATCGGACGAGGATTTATGCCGTCGTCTGGGTCTCATGTCTTGACCGCTGGAGCTCCCCAACCGCGACTCACTCTCTCTCTTTCTCTCTCTCTCTCCTCCTCGCTCTCTGCTTCCTCTTCTTTCCCGGATTCGATCGGGAAACTGACTATTTCTACGCGATTGGCTTCATTAAGGTACCTAGCCTTCGTCTCTTCCCCCTGTTTTTCTTTTGAGACGTTACTCTCTCTCTCTCTCTTGTCGGTTGGAATTGTGCAGCAGATTTTGATCCTGTTTTTCCCCTTCTTTTTGCTGCTTCCTGGTACAGGTTTTTTAATTTTATTTTTGAATTGATTGTTCCCCAAGGGAAAATCAAATCATTCGGGGTTTTAGGGAGGTTTCGGTTCTGGGTTTTGGGTAATCTTTTGCTTGATACTCAAGTTTAGAGAGAGAGAGAGAGAGAGAGAGTGAGTGATCCGATGGGTTGTGTTTCTAGTGAATGGAGGATTTTGAGGAGTTTGTCTCCCTTTTGAATTCAATTTTTCTGAACCCAAAAGAAAAAAACACAACAGCCATCCTCCCTCCTTTAACAAAGAAAGGAAAAACAAAATTCAAAAAAGCAAGCAATGCCAGGCCTTGAAACTCCTAGGCTGTTAGTTATGAGCGATCAAGTACAGAAACAGAGCAAGGCAGCAGCAATGAAGAAGCTTCGACTCATATACAGCGATCCAGACGCCACCGACTGTTCCAGCGACGAAGAAGAAGATCATCATGAAGGCGAATTCGCTCTGCTTCGTTCTTGTGGCAGTGGCAATGGCGTCAAGCAGTTCGTTGCAGAGATTTCCTTCCCTTCATCATCGGCAGCGGCAGCAGCAGCAGCAGCGGCGGCAGCAGCAGCAGCAGCGGCAGCAGCAGCAGCATGTGAAGAAGAGACGGAGGAGGAGAGATGCAAGTCCAGAATCCACGGCGGAGTCAAGAAGCGTGCACTGTCCACCAACAACACCAGCAGTACATACAAAGGTGTCCGGCGGAGACCTTGGGGGAAGTATTCAGCCGAGATCAGGGATCCTTTCCGAAAGGCAAGGGTGTGGCTAGGAACTTACAGCACGGCAGAAGAGGCAGCTGCTGCTTACCAGAGGAAAAAGACCGAGTTCGATCAAGCACTGGAGATGAAATCCAAGACCACTGCCACCCACGAGGAGGAAGGGGCTGTGTCTGAGGAATCGAATGGCGGTTCCTTCTCTCACCCATCTCCATCGTCAGTGCTTGATGCGGCCACCAGTAATGACAATGTTGTTAATAATAATAATAGTGATGGTAACGTGGTGGTGGCGGATGTGGGATTGCCCTGGAAGCAAGTGAAGTCTGAGAATGAGGTGCTCATGATCGAACCAGAGACATATATCACGAGACCGATGGATGTCGACGATGAGGATGATTATGACGACGATGATTATGAAGATGAATACGAGGACAATGAGGATTGTTGTTTGAGTTACGAGGACGACGAAATGCAGCCGATTGATGAGATGATGCCGCCGGCTAGTGACGAGGAGATTGTGATGGGGGGGAGTGAAGGGTATGATTACTGCTGCTATGAGTTTGGGAGCAATTTTGGGATGATGTTTGATGATATAGTAGGAGTAGGGGAGTTTGTGTTCCCAGGTGATGATGAGGAGTTGAAATTCCTTCCAATATTAGATGGTTTAGGAGGAGGATTAATGGATCTTCCTAACATTGAGCTAGAGGGTATTGATATTGTTCAGCAGGCTCTCAATTTTTGAGCTTCAATTTTGTAGTTAGGCCTTGTTTATGTTAACAGTTTTTGAGTTAAAATCATAGAGATGGTGACAAAATGGTGCGTTTTTCATTTGGGGAGCGTTCTTTGTAAGCCTTGGCCATGGGATGGAATCAAAGAATCAACAGAGTTGGTTTCGGATTTTGTTTTCTTTGCCTGTTGATGTGGTTGTGGATTGGAATGTATTGTATGCAACTTTCTGCTGCTGCTGCTGATGCAATGCCTGGTTGGTTTGAATGTGGAAAAAGACCAGACCAGTTGTTGTCATTTGTTGTTATCAGAAGCAGAAGGTTTCCTTGGTCAACAGAGAGAGTATCAATTGATTGATTGCATGCCTGCCTGTTGTTATCTGTTGGGAGGAGTGTGCAGTTGACTCGTATCACTCTCCTCATGAAAAGTCCTTTTCCACGAAGAAAAGAAAAGTTGGGTGGTAATAAGAAATTGCGCTGACATGACCATATTCCTCTATTATTGTAGACGACTAGTGTAGTGAGCATTACAAATTGGTAGTGAGATGCAATGGATCTTTGTTTGGTGCAGTTTTCCACAATTTAATGGAAGCAGATGACTGAATATTGAGAGAGAGAGAGAGAGAGAGAGAGAGAAACGAGTAAGACAATGACCTGCGCAAGTGCAAAGTCCAAAAGTCTCGTTTGATCTTGTGCACGTCAGTGGTTTGTTTGTTGTTTGGTTCTTCTGGAGGAACTTAAACCATCTCCAACAAGCAATTGGAAAAATGCTAGAATGTCAAATGATTTTGGCATTTTGGCACTCCAAAAGTGGTTTTTGCTCCAACAAGCAATGTCAAAATGCCAAAATGACAAATCTTCTCTTTTTCTAATAAACTAGTTTATTGTAGATTTGATCATTTTAATTAGATAGTTTGTAAATTATTTGTATACAGGTAATAATAATTAATTACGACGAACATTTCGATATAATTTTTTTTTACTTAATTTCAACATAAATTTTTTAATTTGCAACGGCTATAAGCGAAACCGACGTGCGAAGAGGGGATTGCGCGGAACGAGCGACGTGGATTGGATCTGGGCCGCGCAATCCCCTTGCGTGCGTCGGCTTCACGGAAGAGGGGGGGGGGGTCAAGCTCAAGTGAGAGTATCTGGCATTTCTTGTCTTTTTCTAGTGGATATTTGGCAAAAAAATTTGGCATTTTTGGCTTTTTAGCTTTTCCCAATTGTTGTTGGAGGAGATATTTTAGCAATTTTGGCATTTTGGCTTAGTTGTTGGAGATGGTCTTAGGAAGATAAAAAGTGAGACAACATCTTTGATCTATCTCTCTCTCTCCTCCTACTGGTACTTAATTTGGTTTTCGACTCGCTGGATCCAACGTCTTTTGAATATATCGTATCACAAAGTTTATGTTAATATTTTAAAACTATTTGAAATACCGAATTTTATATGATGTTAAAGTGACACTAAAATTATTTTTAATTTGAAATAATAATAACCTTTTATCAGATTGTATTTTGAGTGATTATAACAATTACAGGGGTGTGCAACGATCTATGTCGAACTGAACCAGACCAAACTCATGAGAACCAAAATCCAATAGTAAAAAAAAAATTATCAGGACCAAGGACCAGATCTTCATTACATTTAGTCTGTTTTGGTCTGATCACTTTTTCTTTAATATTTATAAAGTTAATTCCTTTACATTATTATGAGCGAAAGAATCATAATCGTTGAGCAACTGACTAAAGTTCATAAACAACCAAATGAATTAACTACATATATGATATGAGCACGGAACCAGTATCCGTAGTTATCAAAGTCACGCATCTAAGAACTTGAATAAAATTAGGGATAAGGTGGAATTGAAGTGCAATCTCACACCCGAGAGTAGGCTCTATCAATATAGGGGTAGAAGGTTGACCACAATCAAGATGGATGCTTGATTGATACAAAGACACAACGCTAATGGACTCCGCCAATGACGAGATCAAAATTCACAAGCAAAACGCTTAATGAACCAAAGGTTTTTTCAATTAATCAAAGTCTGCCTAAAACTCGTGTTTACAACCCTTTAAATAGGCATGGAAAAAATAAAACTAATCAAAAACCCGAAAAAGAAAAAGAACCCTAAACTAAAAAGGTAAATTCATTCGTCATCCCCGATCCCCAGTCTCAGATCCTCGATCATGGATTTAACCCAACTGGTCGAGGGTGCGACTGATCCAATTCTCGGTCATCCTTCTTGATTCCCCGACCGGGGAATTTAGTAATTCCTGGGCAGGGGAGAATCACATCAGTCTCTCCCCGTTGAAGAAGCTTTGCCCTCAAAGCTCATGTAAAACACCACGCAACATTCACCCATTTGAACTCAAGCAATCCACAAAACTCTCGATCCAAGCAAGCTTCCAACTAGGGGTGGAAATCGGTACGGTATTGGTATCCCAATACCAAATAACGAAATCCCGAATAACGAATTACCCCCTAAAGTCAATCCCAATCCCTAAATATTTCGATATCCCAATCGGTACTTTGGTATCCCAATCGGTATTATCGAATGCAAAATTAATTACCTTTACAATTAATAATTACATATATAAATTAAATTTTACTGTTTAATTTAGGGGGGAAAGACTAAGCAAAGAGTCTTGAATTAGGATATTATTAAGGAGAATGGAGGAGAGGAGACATCTCAAGTTCTTGTCATTGGTAATCGTTAATTTGACGAATTGGAGGTTGAGAGACGACTATTAATAGTGATGAAATTATCTATGTATAATTAAATGACACTCTTGGTGGTTGAGGGTTGTGTAGTAGTGAATGAGAGAGTCTAGTTGAGAGGATAAAATATACACTAGCTTATATTTCGGTATTGATCGGTATTTTGGTATATACCGATCTCAATCCCGTAATCCCTAATACCGAATAACAATTGAAATTCAATCCCAATCCCATGAAATAATACGTGTACTCGGTAATAGCAAATATAGACAAATTCCATACGGTATTCGGTATATCCCAAATACCGGTACCAAACTTCCAGCCCTACTTCCAACGCCTTTCTTGCTTCTGTTTCCACAACAGCAACTTGCAAAGCTTCCCAGCCTGGCTTCCAAACAAAATTACTTACATAATCATCATCAAGAAAGAACAAACAACCTCTACAATTCAACGGAATCAAGACCTCAAACAACTCGGCAAACAAGGCCTCCAATCCTTGAACTTTAAAGCACAGATCGTCATAGTCCATCAGTTGAGTCTTCCATACGGATTCTGCAAAATTGGCAAGATCAATTCTCCTTCCTCTCATATCGATATAGTAGGTTTGTATCGATCGAGTCTCGTTCCATGAGGTAGTGGCATCCTCATCCATCCTTTCTGGACTGGATTTAGCACGTAGAAGTTCCAGAATTTGGCAGTGAATCTTGAATGTCACCGACGATGATAATTTGGTCACTAGACGGATTGTCATCGACTGCAGTTTACCCAATTCAAGCATGTTCTCCACAAAAAGCTCGTCACTTGATAGTTGTTTGCAACTCCAAAACACCTTCTTCAGCAGCCTCTTCCTCACTAACTGTAGTTTCTTCGACAACTGTTGTTGTCGATGATTGCTTTGCTTCTAGGGCCTTCTGCTCCTCATAGGCTCGCTGTAATTGCCTCCTATCTTCAACAACCTCTTCCAACGATAATGGTTGCAAGGCAAATTTCTAATAATAACTACTCACAACCAATCATCTGATGCTTAACAAAGACTCATCAGAAATCGATTGGTTGAAGTTCTCTATGTTTATTGGTTTTTGAGATTCATCATAAAGTAAATCATAAATTGAATGACAAGATAAATAAAAGATACACAATTGATAAGAAAGTTAATCCTAGATGATCATACATTTCAATCGCAACAATGATAAGCTTCGATGCATCTTTTATCATGTAACCCTATCCCTTCCAATAAAATCATCCTAATCAAGCTTGTGCCTCATGGAAAAGGAATTATAACTAGCTAATGCATGCTTTCACTTCAAGTCATTAGACTAATCAATCAAACAAGGAAGTATGAATAACACATTAACTATTTAGGGCCTCTATGAACCATATTAATGATATTTGAACCATATTAATGATATAGCATTTATGTTCTAAGGTATCAATTATCAAGCATTGCACTCAGTCAAAAATAGATGGTTGATCATTCCATTCCATACACGCCTAAGACAATGACAAATCACATAATAGTATTTTCTGACAACTTAACATGATATTATAAACAATATTATAGTAGCACATAATAGATTTGTATAAGCATCAAATGACTAATGCAACTAGTATAGGCATAGAATAACACACAAAAAAATTACCAACGTCATCACATGACTAAGGCGTCAAGGTCAATTTTGATGCTATCGTCTGTGAGTTTGGATGCTCTGCAGGTTTGGTGGTTTGTGGGTCAAACAGGTATGTGCTGCTGGTAGTTGGATGTCACCATCATGGGGTGACTGATACACACGTTGCGGAGCTCCTTACTGCTAGAGATGGCCTCTCACTTGTGCTGTCTCATTCCTTCATCCGTGTTATCCTGGAAGGAGATGTTGAGGTGGTGATTCGTCAATTGCGTCTTGGTATGGTGGCAGATTTGTTAGGAGGTCCCATGCTTTGTGATTGTAGGCAGCTTGGTTTCTTCATGTTCTTCTTGTATAGTTAATAGGGCGATTCTGAGATCCACAATTGGGCTGCCCATAGAGTCACACATGAAGCCTTGTTGTTGTCTCTTTTAGACTTAGCTTCCTTTGATTTTTTTAGGTTAGCTCCTCTATTAGGTTTTTTATTTATTGGGGAAGGTTCCTGAGTTAGGGTATGTCATTTTCTAACTTTTATCTTGTTATATCTTGGGGAAAAAAAGGTAAGCAATATGTTTGTTATCTTCATAAAGCTCACAAAAGGGTCATTCGTCAAGTTCCCTCATTAACTTTGTAGCAAGGTTGGCTCCGGTAGGTAAGAATCATATTTCCATTTTCCAAAGGAGGTGTTTCACTCTTACTCGAATATTCATTTTTGAAAGTTTTTGCAAGAACTTAGGACTTGGTATTTCGTATTGATGACTCTATTTTCGTTTACACTTTCATTCTTCTGTGGAGAAGATATGTAATCTTAACTATGAAATTGCTATGCTTGGTGAGAGTGCAGACAATATTGTCTTACTTTGGGTGGTTAGAGGAGGCGGGATTTTGGAAATTATATGATGATCCTCGAGATTTAACAACTCATTGAGCTTGTCCATTCTCCAAGTACCCGAATTCTGTTAGATCATAGTGACAATCTTAAGGGATAGATCGAGAACACTTATAGTTGGTTCAGGTCTGAAATGTTGTTTATTGGGAACTCATTTTTCATTCTAAATGTAAACATCTTTCCCACAATCGATTCTCCAAATGCATCCCTATTCCTTGCACTCCCATAAATCTCTTCCATATATAATTGTCGTTAGGTTTAGTTATGGCCTCAAAGAAAGGGGATTTAGGGAAATATTTTACCATTCTTTGAGTTTCACAATTGTCTTCTCTTTGGAAGTAACTTTCTTTGCCCTTCCTATAAGTGTAGGATCCTCCTTGTATTTGTTGTGTTTTTCGGCTTCTATATACCGAGGTTATCCATAATTTCCAGCCTCTTTCATCCTTCCACATTCTTGCTAAATACTATTTCTGACTCGCTTAAATTCACCTTTTGTTTTGAATCATTTTCATAGATATCTAGGATTCTCTTGTGCATGGTGTTTTCCTCCTTTCTAGCTCTTACAAACACAATGTTATCATCTGCAAAATAAAGTAAGTGTGAGATAATAGAATCTCTATTACAAACGCTCACACCATGAAGTTTTTCTTCCTTGACATCTTTTATTAATAGAGCTAAAACCCACTCCGAACTTATGAGAAATAGATAAGGTGAGAGGGAGTACCCTTGTCCTAGGAAACGAGTATGATAGAGATATAATTGTTATTGCCCCTAGCGATCCGCATTGCCCTCACCATTAGTTCTCACATTAATCACAAGATGCTACTTGTGGCACGCTTTGGATTGAGATCCACTTTCTTTCACCCCTACCTTGATATATTATACATATTATGTAAACTTTCATAATGATTAGGCCACTACTAAAAATATTTAGGAAGGAATACTTATTTCTTATGTATAATTTATGAGAGTATCATATCCAAACAATTTGTTGATTATTTGATTTCACATAAAAACGAGAGGTAGTTTTTAAATATAATTTTTTTTCTACCGCCGCAAAGCACGAGCAAAATAGTAATGATAAGAAAGGGCACATTGTATAACATGGTGGTGCGGACCATGGAGCATCACCAGTTCGAGTGGGGTGGAAGACGGAGAAGGAAGGCCAGAAGGGAAATGCTGCTTTGAAGACGGGTGGCCATCTTCCAACATGGACCCTTACGTCGTCGTCACTTCCATGATTGCACACACCACCTTTCTCCGGGAACAGTAGAGCTGGTCACAATTTATTCGTCACCAAGCTATAGTATTTTCTGACCAGGTTCTATTTCAGGAAACTTGGGAACAATTGAGTTCCCTCTTGAAACGAATCCTGGACCGTTCCCTTCCTTCCACTTAGCTAGCCCTGTGTATACCTCGAGAACTCAGCTTGCAGCTTTGCATCCACGAAAGAATTCAGTAATCATCATCATCTAGAAATGCCAACTCGCACACAAGAGCAAGATGGTCGCTTCCATATCTCTGCAAGATGATACAGACATTGTTTTAGTGTGTATGAAAGAGACCAATGATATTGGCCATCTTGCTCAAAGCGCGAATAAAACAATCTTTATGTTATTTACAGACAATTATAAATAGCCACAAATGTCGATATAGTTTTTCTTTGAGCAGTGGGGAAAACTAGTGTTGATAAAAACGCGGCAAAAAATGGGCTGCTGCTACCCTCATGGCGATCACAAAATACTCTTGAGACCTTTTTGAGAAATATCAAAGGCAGCAAGCAAGAAGAGAATTTTTTAACCTCACTAGGAAGACCTGCGTTTCTCCTTAAATCGTCAAGGGGTAAGGTTTCAAGAACCCTAAGTGGTACAAGTTCTTTCGTATGCCTGCATATGTTGAGTGTTAGTGCAAATAGTCAGGGGAAAGTACGCATGATCATGTTAGTATAAGGATAGCCTACCAGATGTAATCAACAGTTCCCATAAACTTTGAGTGGTAGGAGGTTGCCAATGGTTCTCCACAAGGGCCTCTTGACATGCTGCTCCCCTGAAGAATTTGAACAAATTTACCAGAGAGAGTAATCAGTAAATTACACTTAAAAAAGGAAAAAAAGACCTTAAACTCGAATTTTGGAATTGAGATCAAGAGTACAACCACCTTTCGGTTTTTGTATCTTCCTGTCTAAAATGACTAGCTTAAATCTAGTCTTTGCAAAAGTTAAAAACCTGTCCATCTCAAACATTCATCCTAGATTCCCTGAGGTCATGTTATTGAGTAATTTGTTCCGTCTCTTCATCAGCAAGTTTTGATCTAGAGAAATAGAGTGGACATAAAATCCATGGAGAGAACAAAAATTTACAGGAACCCTGGCATATGCACTAGAAAGCTTCAACTGATGCTGAAGATGAGCCACTCCTTTTCTGCCAGTAGCTAGCTTTAGTTCTTCCTCACTCCAACTATACAAAGGTGCAAATTTTATCAGTAAATGGAGTTAGAACCCCTATCAGACCTATAACAATCTTTATTGAGTATTCTATTCCTGATAACTAGGAACCATATAACAGAAAGAGGAAGAAATTTTCTGAAGTCTTCAACCTCGAATGCTCAATCGGGAACCTGATGTGTTTCTGCTGTGCTGGTCGTTTAAGCTGTCCAGAAATCTTTCTGCGGTCGTGCAGCAGGATATCCAACTGCCAGACGATTTAAGGAGAATTAACTTAAAGAATGAACGATGACAGGGGCCATTGAAGAAGAAAAGAAGTCAAAACACTGAAATTCTAGGTGAGGGTTGTGCTTGTGCATTACTGAAACTCACCTCAGATGAGGACAGAAACTGATACATGGCACTCTGCAAAATGAGTGAAAAACAGAAGACCATGTTATCAGATCCAACAAAACTGCAATTACAATTTACAACTATCAACTTTATACAATTGAGGCAAATGCTAACCTCTGGAATGCTATTCAGATCCCCTCCAATTATAACAGGAATGCTGCCCCATTCTTGTGATAACTTATGAGCCTTCTGTAGAAGTAGTCGAACCTAGCATTTCCATGTAAGATACACAGATGAAGTTTTTGCAGGTCGAGAAGAAAATTATACGTACCATGGAAACAACCAGAAAAGGAAAGAAGACTTGTTCCAAATTGTATCTCTCTCACGGCAGGCAAACAAACTTGTGAGATTTGCCCACAATGACATCTGGCACCAGAATGTTCAAGAATACTGATGCAGAAAGACGAGAAGAATGTTTTCTAAACCGAGTATGTACCTGGCCTAACTTGATATCTCCACGGTTTGGATTGAAAAGCACATGTATATTACCAACCACAAATCTTCTACTTTGGCTTGCTGGTATCCTGTAAATATTATGGTAATAGCCACATTACATTACAATAATATAAAAATCAAGAAACGAACACACTATTAGTCTCTCTATCGAAACACCAAAACTATGTACAATTCTTTAGCAAAATTTTATTTCAAGTTCCCAGTTTCATTCCCATCAACTAATCCACCTTTATGATCATGCCAACTACAAGCACAACATGCAGTTTTGAAGAAATATAATTACATGCAAATATTAGATGTGAGTTAATAAAAATATCCCCTTGACAATTTTACAGCACTGTCAACCCTCAAGGACAATGCAGGACTCTGTTCCTCATCCCATCTCAAGCGGGTAACAATTACATGTTTTACAGTACTCCTTCCATTGACTAGAATTTGCTATTCACTGTGTACTAGTCAAACTCAAGCTTTAGTCCAGTCGGTCCATGATTAGACAGGACCCTCAAGAATTGAGTGACTCTGAAGGTTCATAAATAGCATTGAGAAACATTTGCCTAAATCACAAAGCATATAACTTGGTACATCACCTCTTATGAGGCTAATGAATCTACTGCTGGGGGCGGGTGAACTCTGATGTCTTTACAGACTGTTGATCACACCTAAAGTTCAACTTTTTTACAGTGCCTTTGAGGTTGAACAATAAATATAATTTTTTCAAATTGGCAAGCTGGCAGAGCAACTTGCAGAAAGAAACATCAAACATCCCATACAAACCTATCGAATGCATAACACATGAACTTACCCGTGCACTTGCATTACTGTGTCTTTTTCTGATTGATGGTCATTGATCTGCATAATCCAAGGGGTATTAATGCACATATAAGACATACTTGATTGTTCAAATTGGAATGGTCACAACTCACAACATCCCAGCTAAAGAGATTATAGACTCTAAAATAAGTGTTGCTGCTTTTACTGACTATCGTATTTCAGCTTGAACCAAATATAAGAAATCTAGTCCAGCACAGTATCAACTGCACCAAATAAAACTGCTCTAGGGTGCTGAAATAAAATGAATGTGCAGCTAGATGGTAGAACTAGAAAGTTTACAGCAACCTAATAGGACATGGTCTGCAGATAAATAAACCAAAGTCACCAAAGAAAAATCACATCCTTTTGCAAACCTGTAGGACACACAGCTGAGCTACATTGTCCCGGAGACCAAAATTCCGGAACTCGATATGTTCTTTATGCAACAGTGTATACCTGTAGGCAGACAGGTGATTAGTTTTGAATTGATCAATCAGCGGAATGGAAGGAAAACCAGGGAAGAACAAAACATCGGATTAGACTTTTACAAAGGACATTCCATTTAAGACCACATTAATTCGTCTGAGCAAGAGCACCGCCTTAAGTTATTAGTTACATGTAACTTTTCATTTCCTGAACAACATTCATGAAAGACAAATCATGCCTTCAGAAAAATGTGCATCACTTCTGATGCAACAGAAAAGGGAACCTATCTCTCACTTTCATACAGGGGACCTGTATAGGAAATTCAGAAATTTTATTAGTGCCCTTACATCTCATCTTTCCAGAACATAGCACAGCCATCACATGCTTCACCAGTGCGTGCCTGAAGAAATTATGAATCAACAAATCTAAATTATCACAAGCAATTCATCAGGATAGGAACATTTATATCTGACTTACTGTATAGACACCTCTAAAGCCGTCCTTTTGGAGAAGGCTATCCAAATCATTGAAACGATCAACCTCCTGTAATGAATTATACGAAGAGCACAAAACTCAAATAAGCATATGTTATAATTAAGTAAACAAAGGAAAATACACAATAATAAATAGATTCTACATCGAGAGAGAAGAGCTCCTAACAAAATCAGGGGTCAAAGGAACACCTGAAAGAAACTATAGATCAAAAGTACATGTTTTCTAGAACTATAGCTTGTAACTAACCGGGAAAGAAAACCTAAAGCTGGTAAGATTTTCCATGTTCAATACTAACAGCAGCCTGGCAGGTAGTGGAATAATTATTGTCAGGTGCAATAGCCATTTTCATATGAATAAACTCATGTGGGATTCCGGGAACAAAGACACTACAGATGAAAGTAGCTGAAACAACTGTTCTTTCTCATTACAATTGGCAGAGATTCAAACAATAAACTCAAGGAGTAAGTATATAACGAGCGACGATCGCCACTTTCTAAGATGCAGAAAGCTCACACGTCAAAAGCACCCCAAGGGTTTGGCCTAGAGATAAAAACAATCATTTCACTAGCGAGCAGGGGAAAACTAAAACATTCACTCGCCTGTCTGCCTTAATTGAAAGGATCCCTATCTCCAAGGAGAGACCTAAGACTGATTTCACAACTGATACCAACTCAAAGGTGTCATAATCTAGTTAAATAAAAGGTTACTTGTGCTACTCCAGTATTAAGTCAAGGTTACCTGCCTGAAAACATAGGATGCCAGCGTTATATTGTTTGATCTCCTTGCATATGAGCCGCTTCCTGCGACCCCACTTCAAGAATTCTCTTGGAACTTGAGAGTACAAGTCTGGATGCTTTAAGGCATTCTCTACACCAAGTATATTATACGAAACCAACACAAGTCTATCTGTGAAAGAAAGCAAACCAATGAAAGAGTTCAAATTTATTGCAAGTGAAACGTTGAAAACAAACAAAAAGAAACAAAATACGGATATGCAATGGTAAAACCGATACCTGCAAAAGCGGCGGGATCATGAGAACTTGAGACCCAACTGCGATTGCTCTCTAAAGTAGTTGGCTCTCTGCTTCGGTACCGATTTCTCCTTCGCCTTCGAGACGACGAGGAATTAATTGGCGCAAACCTATTCACAGTCGGAAAATCGAGATGGGGTTGTAGAGTTAGGGTTTGCGCGTCTGATACAACTTTACGCTTCTTTGATCGATGTTCGTGAAGGCAGTGTTCTGCAGATTCATCAGAACGCTTGTATTTGGACTGCTCCTCATTTGGAGCTTGGGGCTTGCCTTCTCTCATGTTAGCCGACTCCGAGACCGGACAGCGTACTTCAGGGTATCTCAATGGGCAGTGCCGGCGGAAACAGCTACTTCCGGCCAGACAGCGGGGCTCTAGTGTTCTGGGGAAAAGTTATTGACTTGAGTCATGGATGGGTGTGAAGCACGATTGTAGGTCGTTATACTCTTTTACACAAGGTTGCAGCTCTTCCTCTTGTCCATTGTTCATAGTTTGGCTTGTGACTCTATGCCTGAGCCAAACTGCTCGCAATTAGCTTGACATTCATTTTGAGAAAAATTCGTTTAAAACTTGATTCGTTTTTTTTTTTTTTACTAACGAGCCAAGTCTGAGCTAAGTCTTGTTCGGCTTGCGAAGCTCGCGAGCTAGTTTTACTAGTTGGCTTGTTGAGCTTAACTCGTGGACTGACTTGTTAAGGACTTATGAGATGTCTCAACACAGTGGTTAGAGTGTCAACTCGATTACCAACCTATGAGCGAATCAAACTATATCTTATGAGTTGGAGTTTGATAATTCATATGATAATTAAATTTTATATCTCACCCTATATGAAGTTGAACACGTTGAGTATGTGAGAAAATATGTCTTATTTTTAACTTTAAAAAGAAATCATGCATAGTAGATTGCGGACTATCTTGCTAACAGAGGCCATCTTGTGCCCTTGGGATTGTTTTTTTTTTTTTTTCGTTGACGGATCCATCTCTTTGTAATTGGGTTAGGTACGATGTTCAGGGGGTCTTCGAATCCGGGGTGGTTTTGAATGAAAGGTAGGATGCAATTGCATCCATTTAATAATAATAAAAAATTATGTGTAGTAGATTGCTTCGGTTCTATGAAATAACATGATTTGTAGTAGTTAAAATTTATTAACTAAATAATATGATACCAAACGAGTATATCATTGGATTATTTAATGTTGAACATTTGACTATTATTATTTTTTTCATCATGACATTAATCACATGTATCATACATGACATAAAAAATGAATCAAATATGAGTCAAGATTTTAGGTAACAAGGCTAACTCGGGCTCGACATGGCTTGTTAATAAACAAGCTCGACTCGTTTATTAATGAGCCTAGCTCAAGCTGGGGCAAACTCGGCTCGGCTCGTGTACAACCCTACTTGTGAGACGGAATGGATTAGCATCTTGTCAAACCGATTTCTATCACGCCGGTTTAGCAAGTAAAAAGGTTCAAGCGGTGATACAATTGGTTTGTACCGATTCAAGTCGGTCTAACAAAATATGTAGAAATGTGAAAAAACATTAACATGACATCAAATCGAATGAATTTAATCATAGGATGGATTGCAAGTTTGGTCATGCATATTATCTTGTTGTAACAGGTTAGCCACCCGTATCACTTTCCCTTCAGTTTAGCCACCGATACCACCCGTTTATGTCATCTTTAGTCACTCGCCGTCTAATTTCGTTAAATCCATCTTACATGGCGGTCAACAATTAGGTTCGGCCGTTAAAATGCTAAAGTGGCCATTAAAAATAATTAATTGATAAATTCAAAATTTTATACTTTACGGCTCCCCAGTTTGCCAATTCCCCCATCTCCGTCTCCACAAAGGCTTCCTCCGCCACGATCACATCTCAATTCCCAAACCTCCTTCATTCCGACCATCGCCACCGCAATTCTGATCAGGTGTGTATTTCTGGTTCAAATCAGTGGCACGGAGATCACAAGCTTAGCTTCAAGCCATGATTGATTCAATGTATACGGAGGACATGAACGAGTTCGTTGAAGGCAAAAATAAGCTAGTCGGCACTGGTCTTTGGAAGGATATGCAGAAGACATTGGCTTCCCCTACTTCAAGCAAGGACTATCTGCGATAATTCGGTACCAACTGGGTTCCACGACTCTTGTGTTGCTCTTGTGCAACAGAGTTCGAGTTCTGAGGAGGAGGAGGCGAGTCTGGAAGCAGAGAAATCGCCGACCAACTGTTCAGAATTGCAGAATGAAGGTGGAGCTTCATAAGAGATGGTTGCGGTGGAAATGAAACAAATGGTTTATCTCGACCCTTTTTACGAATATTGTGTTGATAATTTCCCGTGCATGAAAATACAAGCTTTGAGGGAAAAGCTTTGCCAACGGAGAAGGACTGATGTGATCATGGATTGTGACCAAAAACCATTCCCATTGATGTTCATATAAGAAACCAAGTTAAGAGAAGAAGAAGCTGGAAATTTGGCTATGTCTAGGAAACAGTTTGTGGTACCTACTCTGAAAGCTTACTCGTTTTGTTTGGGAGACATTCGAGTGAAGCTAGGTGTTGGGAATGAGAGTACAAGTCTTGATAAAGATCGTGAAGGAGTTGAGTGAGAAGATTGAAACTTCCTGGACACCAAATGAGCAGCCTAAAGATCGTATGTTGATCATGAAAAATTCCCTATCAGGTAGGTTAAAATCTCCTATAGGGGATCTGAGATTCGTGAAAGGGGAATTGGATTAGAAGGACCCCCTGTCGTGAGGGTGCTAATACTCGATAGGGTACTTAATGGTGTCGATAGGGTATTTTGGGCTGACGAGTTTCGATTACTATTTTGTTTAGGATTCTTTTTCCTTTTCTGTACATTCATTAGTTTTATTTTGTAGACCTATTTAATGGTTGTAAACTCTGTTTTGAGAGAGAGTAATGTTGAATAGAAAAAAAAAACATTTTTGGTTCATTGAGTTGTTACTCTTGAATTTTGTCCTTGTTTGTTGGTGGATTTCCAACATTCAAGCGAACTCTGTATCAATCAAGTACCCATCTTGATTGTGGTCGAGTTAATACCCATTATATTGTGAGCCTCTTCCTAATTTTGTGTTGATGATCACGACAATTTTGTCCTATCCTTTACTTTTCGAGTTGTTGAGAGAAAATATCAGAATACCATAAAAAGATAGTACCTGCGCGACTTTGACAGAAGAAACTAAACTTTCACGAGTTCAGAATCTTTTCACTGTTTGCCAAGGAGAGGAGTAATCCAAGGAGCCACGACAAGGAACATGATAATTGTCGAAATCCTATTGATTTTGTGTGTTTAATGTGATTATTTCATGATATGTTTGAGATATATGATGTTTGTTTTAAGGCCAATCAATTATGGAATGGTTGCAAAACCATTACCATCATGTGTTAGAGTTTTTGTATCTGCCAAGCAGGAAAACAAGAACATTTTGTTGCACAGGCAGAAGGGTGGAAGTACAGTCAGACCCACATGACTCAACAGTATATGGAACACAATTGTTGGAGTGGAGGAGAATTGCCAATCAAACATTGTCTTCGGTCGGCCCACTCTGCCTTCCGAAAGGAGCCGGGAGGCGGAAGCTTGATGATAGAATTAATTGGGCCAGGCCCATTCATTTTTCCTTGCAAACTTAGGAGTTGGGACACAGAAGCTAGTGGTAGGGGCGCTAATCGATTTAGTTTTGATTAAGCATTAACTGATCTGCCGGTTAGCGATTAACCAATAAGCAAAAAAATCATATTGATAATCGAATCGATAACTCCTATCCGTTAACCGTCACTTATCAATTCGGTTAGTGGTTAGTTTGGCAGTTAACCAATGACGACTAACATACGTTCCAACAAGTAGGAATATACCTAATAAAACCAATAACTTCTATTTTATTTCACGAAATATATTAAAGCAAAGCAATAATCACTTGTAATGCATTAATCATCATCCAATTAAGTTTAACATGTGTCATTTAACAAGTGACGTTTAATCTTAACCACTAGTAAAACAATTTTACTGTACTTCTTCTACATTATCATCACAAAATACTAATGATAAGAAATCACATTAATACATATCCATCATGAATTCATGATCCAAATTCCAACACATAAAATTAAAAATAATCAAGCATATTTATCTAATTAGTGAATACCAACTACCAGGACATCAAACAGAAGACCTACAAGATCATTATCATCCACAAACATAAGAGAAACAAAGATGACTAGGGTGGGATGTTCTCTCCGTCGATTGTAAAGGGGTGTCAGAGAGGATGCCTTTTGGGTTATGAATCTTAAACACTTTTAAGACTTTAGGTGGAGGGTTGTTCGCAATAAGTGTAAATTGTGATGTCTGGAATTGCACTTTGCTTGTTTTTTAACCTTTGGACTTTTTCCCTTAGCTAAATACAACTAACCGATTATCGGTTAACCACTATGCAAAATACGGCTAACCGAAACTGAACCACTAACAAGTTAACAGTTATCGAATAACCATTAATCACTCTTATAGGTTTGGTTATCGGTTAAAAATGAAAACCGACTAACCATTTACCACTCCTTGCTGGTGGCAATATTGGAGAATTACTTGGACCGGGGAAGATTATTTTGGGACAAAGTTCATTGTCCTCTTTTGAAGAATAAGAGATGGAAGCTTGAGAGGAGCGGGGGACGGAATTCTTTGGACCGGGGCGGAGTATTGGAGAACAACAGCAGCGTGGCGACGAGAGCAGCGGATCACAAGCGAGAAGCAGTTCAACCGTGCTATCATCACTGATCTCTTAGAGTGAATTCTTGCGGATCTTTTTCCCTCAATTAGTTTCATGATGAACAAGAAGAACATGATTGTTTGTTTTATATTCGTTATGAACTAAACCCCATTTTATGGGGAAATATCATAGGATGTAACTATTTATATACTTGATGGATTGATTCATATTTCTTTTTTTCCAATCTCTATTGCATGAAATTGCTTAATGATTTGTGTTAATTGACCACCAATACATTGACTTGTAGTTAATTAAGTTATTGGCGACAGTGAAATCCTAATAATTGAACCTATTTCATGTGACATAGTAACTTATTGAAGTGATAGTGGATTAAATAAGGTGTTATGCGGTCTTGGTTGGGATATCGGTCTTGAGGCTAAATAATTAACTCATCGATTTATTACAGTAGGATTTGATTTCATTGTTTAGTAATAGTAATTCTAAACAGGGATAGATTGCACTGTAGTGATATCCTGGCTGTAGAGATATGTATTAA